TGGTCATGTTGTAAGGAGGGACCATTCCCTGGAGAAGGATGTCATGCTTGGTAGGGTGGAGGGTCGATGAAAGAGGGGAAGGCCTTCAACGAGATGGATTGATACGGTGGCTGCAATGATGAGCTCAAGTATAGCAGGGATTGTGGGGCTGGCGCGGGATAGGGCGTTGTTTCGTTCTGCTGTGCATGGGGTCGCTATGAGTCGGAAATGAGTTGATGGCACTTAACAACAACAACAACAACAACATCACCTCTTGCCACAGATGTAGTCAATCGATTCCTGTGTACTCCATCTGGTGAAGTCCACATGTATAGCTGCCGTTTGTGTTGTTGAAAAAAGGTATTTGCGATGAATAAGTCGTTGATCCTGCAGAATTCTCTCATGCGATCTCCAGCATTATTCCTAAATCCTATTTAGGAATTATTAATTTTTTCTAACAGGAATATTCAGTTATTTTGTAGTTCTTTCATTGAATGTGAATTGACTTATGCTCTTATATAAAAATGTATATAATTTCTCTTATATTCTAGAACTTTCATTTACTTTTCTTCATTCTGAAACTTTCATTTACTTTTTTTGTGGTTTAGCAGATATTACAGTCATCCCCTTACTTAAGGTTTAAACAGTTCTAACTGGGATTGCTGATTGGAAACATAACAATTTTTCCTTTGAAAAACAGAAGTCATACTTTGCCTCTAAACACAGTTGCTGAGCTATAAAAAAGAAGCTTTTGGTCCTGATGACCACAAATTACAACAAAGATGTTCTAACAGGCAATTTACCCTATGATAACATTTATGATGTTAACTGAGTCAGCAATGAGGTTCATTTGAAACTTTATTTGTGTGTGTGTGTTTGTGTATGGGGGTGTTCCTAGGTAAGCCTTTTGAGGGTAACAACTGGTTTATCTTGTTCACTGGGGGTATATCCAACAAGTAGAACACAGAAGAGAATTAATAAAAACTGATGGAATGAATGAATGTTGTTTGTTTTACAGATGAGAAAACCAAGCAGCCAAGAATGTAAGTACCTTCTAAAGGTCACTTCAGGGTCAGAAGTGGAATTAGGATTGAAAGTCTGGTCTTACTCCAATGCCTGTGCCCTTTCTCCCATGACAAACTTGATGCACAGACTGGCTATTTTCCAGACCTCTAGGCTGACCTGGTTTCCTGGATTATAGTCTTGGTAAGGAAAGAAGGTGGGAGAAGTGGTCAGCAGTGTCTTGGTAGGGCAGACACAACTGCTATCAAAGCTCTTTCTGAGGCAGCGCCCAGAAGCATCTTACTTTGACCTGTCTTTTCAATCTGGACCCGTACCTCCAAATTCCTGAATTATTCCAGGGAAGAATAGAGATCAGATATAGATAACCTGCAGGCCTGTAAACAGAGAAACCCAGGCCAAGCCTTTGACAATTATCCATACCAGTGCTGACTATGAAGCCTTGTGAAGCCTCCCTGTCGTTGCTTGAGGAAATTCAACCTAAATATGGCTGGAAACATAAGAAACCTCTGTATCTGTGGTAGGTGGAGAAAGATCTTCAATTATAAACCAAAATACAAGGTATTAACAAGAGAGATTTAACACCTACAGTCACACTTGGAGTTACAAGGTGTTAATGAGCAAGATATACCAAGGAATGCATTTTTCTCCCTTGGCTGCCTGGTTGGCTGTTGGTGCAGAATATTTGAAACCTCAAGTTCTGAAACTATGAATCAGGAGGGTTTCCTGTATTATAAATGATGTCATATTTAAGATGAGGGACTTTTAGTGAAATGCAGGAACATTCAGGGTAATGTGTTTGCAGCAAGCAGGATCTTGAATTTATTGCAGAGGGGAGTGTGTATGTTGACCAAAATGGAGAATGATGAGAAGTAACTAAATTATGCATGACAGTCTTTACAGAACAAAGGAAGGAAGAAAGCTTAATGATGTTGTGGTTAAGGACCAGCAGCAATTGGTGATGTATTGGCTGTAGGCTGGTGAGAACAGAAATGGATCTATGAAGATCCAAAGACTATAGATGAGTGTGGCAAAGAACAAGCAGTGGATTTGGGATGGGGAGGGGAGCCTGGGGCTCAGGGTATAATAACGTTTATTGGGAACAAGACAGCCAAATAAAGTTAACTTGACATTAGAAATCATCATCTTAATCTATGCAGTTCTTTCAAGCCCGAGTCTTATCAAAGCAAAAAAAAAAAAAAAAAAAAAAAAACCTATAGCTAACAATGAAGTATTTTCAAAACCCTTTGCTTTCCTGGCATCCACTAAGAACAGTACATAATTTACGGAATCTACAGGCCGGACCATGGAGATGAAGAATGATGTGTCTGCTGTAGTGAGAAATTAGATAGAACGAATCGTTTATTCTCATCATTCTTCCTCGGTTAGGCTAAATTAATATAGTTAACAAGCTTTTGTTTGGATTAGCAGCTCAGATCCGGGATGTGCAGATCAGAACTCATGATTATTACAGTAGCTATTATTTATGGAGTACTGACAGTTTTCTCAAGCCCCATGTGTAAAACAGGAAGGGGTTCTTTTGTCATGCTCTGTGTAGGAAACAATGTTTCACCAGATTTAGGGACTAGACATCTGAACAGGGTAACGAAGTTCAAGAAAATCAGATTTAGTTCCTTGGAGCAAAGTCACTGACGGTCTTTTCTACTGCCCTTTTCTGTGTTTTGATTTTTTTTTTTTAAACAATTGTTGCAAAATGTGCACAATTTTATAGCTGGCAACTGTTATCAGTTCCAAGAAGGGTTAATGTGCGGTAGGGGAGGTGGGAAGAAGTGATACGCTTTAGCACATACTTCAGACCCTTCCACTCAATCTGAATAGAAACTGAGGCAATCGAGCTAAGTGCAAACGCTGCTTCCAGGTGACCCGACCCGACCCAGGCCGCGGCTCCCAAAAAAAACCCCTCGGGTAAGAAATTGTGAAACCACTACGGATCACTAGACTATAAAACCAGGTATCCTCACTTCCAGCCCCTTCCAGTTTCACTGCACTAGACTCTTTCGGGTCATCTTTGATTCATATATATATTTTATAGCTTTAAGAACGTAACTGATGGTAGGTGCCGTTGTTGTTGTTGTTGTTGTTGTTGTTATGCGCCCTCGAGTCCAACCGACTCATAGCGACCCCTCCTTGGGTTTCCGAGGCGGTAACACTATGGAAGTAGATTGCCCCAACTTCCTTCCGAAGAGCGGTTGGTAGGTTTGAACCAGCAGCCTTCTGGTTAGCAGCCAAGTGCCTTAGGCACTACGCTACCAGAGCTCTTGACTGTAGGTGCAGGTGAAGAAAAAAAATTTTTTTTTTCTTTTTTAAATGAAATCAGACCCCTAGGATCTGGCAGTCTTTCCCGCGCCCAACTAGAACGACTGGGGCACCGCGAACGCGGGCGGCGGCAGGGGGCTCGCGGACACAGCTCTGCAGCCTGGGGGCGGGTTTCCGGGCGCCGGGCTTCGCGCCGTCCCAAACCCAGCGGAAATTAATCAGGGGGCAAATACCCAAACCATCCACAACAGAGATGCACCCGCGCCGGGCGGAGTACTCTGTGCTCCGTAAGGGCAGTGGGTCAAGACCTCAAACTCGCCGTGCAGGCTGAATGTCTCACTGGGAGAACAAGGCGGAAGCTACCAACTCTCAGGAGCCCTCAGGAGAAAGGCAACCAACTCTTCTCCCCGCCCCCAGCCGGGTCGGCTCTCCCTGCTAGCAGCACAGGCCGAGGGCCGCTCTCACCTTCCGGCATTCGGCGGCCCGCCTCCTCTCCCGACTTCCTTCCCAGGGCGTAAGGGGCTGTGGCGGCGGAGCCGAGAGAATTAGCACCGGTGCTGGCCTGCACGCTCGTGGACCGGTACTGGAGCATAGACGGGGGCCAGCCGTGCGGGTATGCTGCCGGCACCGTTCACCTTCCGCCCGCGCCCCGCGCCACGTGGCGCCGCCGGGAGCGCTGGGCGCGAGAGTGAGGGCGCCAGACTCGAGGGCCAGGTTTCAAGGATGGTGAACCGTGACTTTGCACCCCATCTGTGATAAATATTCAAATAAGCAAACGCGTGCAGGGGAGGTGTATAGTGGTCGCATTCGGGTTAACTTCACGGCCTTTACGAGCGTTCCGGCTCTGGAAGGTGGGTGGTTCTGGGGAGAGTCTGAAAGTAACGTCACTCCTTGCACTTAAGTATAGGCTGGGAATGCCTGGCTTACTCCGGGAGTCAGAATTCAGGGTATTGGGGAAGAGCTTGCGTTCTGCCCAGACCAGCAACTACATCTAGCTTCCTGGACCAATTGTACCTGAGATTCAGTTTCCCACTTTCCGCAGCTGGATTTCAGAGTTTAGAGGGCTCCAATGAGCATTAAACAGGTAAAGCGCCCAGTGGCGTGACTGCCCCTTATGAGTATGTTCTTTTCTCTATCCTATCCACCCAGTGTTTTCCCCAGTAATTAAGTACTTACATGGTACCCTACGCAGATTAGTGGATGCTAACCCTTAAACTAAGGAGCTTTGGCGTAGTGTCTAAGGCATTTGCCTGCTAACAAGAAGGTTGGCGGTTCAAACCCACCAGCCACTCTGCTTAAGGGAGAGTGGGCAGTCACCTTCCGTAGAGATTCACCGCCTCAGAAACCTAAAAGGGGGATATCATGAGTTGGAATCCACTTGATGGCAGTGGTTTTTTTTTTTTTAGGTTTTAACCCTTAAGTTAGACGAGAAACCAGCCCAATCCTGCATGCTTCACGAAAATTCTTCCAGGGGGCTCAGAATTTGGGCAACATAATCAATGGGTAAAGGAGCCCTTGGGGGCACAGTGGTTAAGTGCCTGGCTGCAGACAGCAGGTGATAGACGGGTTGGCAGCCCTAACTCACCAGCTGCTCAGTGGGAGAAGGATGTGGCAATCTGCTTCCCTAAAGATCACAGTCTTGGAAACACTATGGAGCAGTTCTGATCTGTCCTATAGGGTTGCCTTGAGTCCAAACCGACTGAACTGGCAACGGTTTGGTGTTTTTTTTTTTTAAATTCTGGGTAAGCATGGAAACCTGTACCCACAGGTTCATTGCACCCCTATCTTAGGCAGCGCTGTACTTCACAGTAGCATAAGCTTAAGATCTAGAGCTTGAAGAAGTTTTGGGAAAATCTCACCCTCCTTTAGATCATCTCAAGATTCTTCTCAGTGATAGCTGTATGGTTCCTGTGTGTTTGCCCTCACTCTTGTCCTTGTTTCATCTTTTTTTTTTTTTTT